CAAAATCTGGCTGAGCCAACCCAATACACCATCCAATACTTTTCATTAATGTATTTTCATTCCAGTTGAAGTAACTTTTTAAGAGTCTTTTTTTCAGTTTATGAAGATTGAAGCCTGGAGCTGTTATGGCATTAGATATATTAATATAGGAATATAATGCTGATAGGTTCATGGCAGGCACAGTGTTAGTTGAGCCATGAGCATGATAAAAGAGAAAAATTGAGTCTGATCTATCCCTTAGTACAGACTGAACTTGGCCCTTGGCTGTGAATGCGGTTGTCCAATGTCATGCCTAAAAGTTGTCTACAGGCCCTTCCTAAGATATCCACATATTGCATGCCAAATGGGCAGATGAGAACGGGAGTGTAAGTTCAAAATACTCTTATACTCACTTAAACATAGTCAAAGAATGATTTGGACTTTTCTAGGATGGAAGGATTTGGACTTTTCTAGAAAAAAACAATGTCTTTTATATAGTATTCAAAGTCAGAATTGGACTAACTGAAATTGCTACAGCTGGTGAAAATACTATAGCATACAATTTTATGACAATATAAAACTAGTATACCATACTCAGAAGGAATATGCTTCCAAAAACTAACAAGTGATTTTAGGTGTGAATCCAGATAAAATATTCCTTTTACAACATGTCTGGTCCTTGCCTGATGTGTCATCTGTCTACTCAGCTGTGAGCTCTGCAGCTCAGAATTTGTACATCTGGTTTCCACTTCTTGCTGCTTGAAGAAACCCAGGCTCTGGTGAAGGAGTACATGGACAACCAACAGATTGGTCTACCCAATTGTTTTTTTCTTGAAAACACTGCAAACTCTCCAGATGTTTATATCTTGGACACAAGAATCAGATGTTTTGGAATACTAATTTTGTTTTATAAACTGAAAAAGCGATAGATGCCTTGCCAAACAGTTCAGTTCTTTGCTTATGAGTGATTAGTCAGAGGACAGTAAGATAAATACACAGAAACATAAAAGTAAGAATTGTTTTGCTTTGGGATTAAATAATGGACCTAGAGCCATCTCACAGAATCAATATGTGTCCTGAATGGCAGGGTTGCAGCTAATGAATCTCCTTGAGAAGAAGAGCAAAGGATTGTCCCTTAAAGCTCCTCAGAGTAACACAGCTGCCTCACACCTACTATTGCTGCTTCCAGGTTGCAATCCTCACGTGCATGGTCGACATGTTTTAACGTACCAGGGAATGATTCCTCTACCATGCACTTAACCCAGGACTTGCAAATCTGGGCTGTCTCACTTGTAGCTAGGGAAGAACCCCTGATGTTGTCTCCTCTGTGGTGAAAGGATTTGGTCTTAAAAGGTGTTAAACTTTTAACAGCTGTAGGTGCCAGGAATTCTTCCTAGCTCTTTTTGTAAGCAGAAAGGGAGAAGTGCTCCAATGTCATATTAGGATCAAATGAATCTGTGAGATCTGGGTGATTGGTAATCTACTGCCCTTTGTTTTCTATGCCAAACAACAAATATGGGCTGGTCAGAGAGCAGATTGGGAGCAGCCCTGAGGAGAAGGACTTGGGTGTGTTAGTTGACAAGAGGCCCAACGTGAGCCAGCAGTGTGCGCTTGCAGCCCAAAAAACGAACCATGTCCTGGGCTGCATCAAAAGGAGTGTGACCAGCAGGTCGAGGGAGATGCTTCTCCCCCTCTACTCTGCTCTGGTGAGACCCCACCTGGAGTTCTGCCAGTACTGGAATTCTGGAGCCCAAAGTACAAGAAGGACATGGATCTGCTGAAGTGGGTCCAGAGGAGGGCCACAAAGATGATCAGAGGGCTGGAGCACCTCTGCTATGAGTCCAGGCTGAGGTAGTTGGGGTTATTCATCTTAGAGAAGGCTCTGGTGTGACCTAATAGCGGCCTTCTAATAAATGAAGGAGCCTACAGGAAAACCGGGAAAGGGCTTTTTACAGGGGCCTGTAGTCATAGGACAAGGGGAAATGGCATGAAACTGCAAGAGGGTAGATTTAGATTGGATATAAGGAAAAAATTCTTCACCATGAGAGTGGTGAAGCACTGGAACAGGTTGTCCAAGGAGGTTGTGGATGCCTCATCCCTGGAAGTGTTCCAGGCCAGGTTGGATGGGGCTTTGAGCAACCTGGTCTAGTGGCAGAGTGGTGCCCCTGCCCACAGCAGGGGGGCTGGAACTAGATGATCTTCGAGGTCCCTTCCAACCTTAACCATTCTATGATTCTATGAATCTATGATTCTATGATTACATTCTATGATTCTATGTAAAGAAAATGCAACCCCATGTGTTTTACGGGGTCTGTGGGGTGAATGATCCTGTGAATAATCAGGGGATCAGGAACATGCAGCACTTCAGCATGAAATCATCTCAGATGCAGCCTTAGGGAATGGAAGTAGGAGCAACGCTATGGCATAGGACCTTGCCTTTCTCAGCCTGCATGTTAGCAGGCTTGTACAACTGTGTCAGATAACCAAGTGATGGTCTGTGGTGTTCTGCTTGATTTCTCTAGCAAACAGAACGGAATGAATGATGTAATTTTCATAACCCAGGTGACTAAATTCTGTTGAGTGGGAAAACTTTTAGCAATGTTTATAATGCTAGAAAAAACAACTGATAACAGTGAGTTTTCTTGAATAAGGACTGCTTTTGCTGTCCTTGCCTTCTAATTATAGTCAAAATGGGTTCACTGAAGAATATTGGATGCTCAAGACATCTGGAATAGGCAGAAATAGGCTTGAAAGTAATATCTGAAGGCTGTTACGCTCAAAATCCTTTTTATGAGCAAAGACACAGGATTTATATACTTATAAAGCCCAGTACTTAGTATAAATGAAATCGTAACTGTTGATTCCAAGAATTATTATTAGTCTAGATCTATTTATTACAGGAAATGAAAGAATACTTCTATACATAAAATATTTCAGTAATAGTAATATGGTTAAAATTGTTGCACACATATTTCTTAGTTCTGTTCTGTTTCCTTTTGTTTTGTGCGTCTATTCTGGATCTTAAGGTCAGTAGTTTTATTCTGGTGCATAGAGGGGTTACGAGTGTTACCAGTGTCTGTAGTCTTGCTGGAAGGAACGTGATCTTCATGATGATGGTTTCTACTTCACCCTTAGAATTCACTTTGGATCTTTTCTGTATGTTTGTGAACAGACTGTCAGAGTTTGTTTTCTCTTAATTTCTCTGCAGCTTCATGTTACATACAGATTTGGTGCCTTTTATGTGTGTTAGATACTATTTCTTTTTTCTCTTTGTTACCTCTCAATCTGTTGTCTCCACACCTCAGTTCTCCACACCTCTATTCTATGTCAAACTGTCTGTCACAAACATCTTATTCAGTATAGAGTATCTGCCTGTTACTATGAACTACATAAAACTACAGCCATGCCACACAAAAATAAACAAAAGCAAAGCAAATTAGCAGCCTGGATAACTGGAAGAAATCAACATTTTTTTTTTCTGCAGAAAATCCAAGCTGAACCAAGTAAAACACAGTCACAGGTCATGAAAACTTCAAACAGAACAAGCCTGACAAACCTCAGTCCTGAGGCCTTGCAAAGTTTATGCCACGTCACAAGCAGTGACAGCACCTACTATAGTGCTGCAGATTTACAAGGCTTAGTCTAAAATCTGCACTGACTGCCTGAAATGAAGTGGGCAGAAGAAGGGCCCAAGCATTGTTTCAAGATAGGGTTTACAAGGATACTTCTCCCTACTTTAATTTGTTAACTACTTGCAAAAGATTATTTCTTTGTTGCTGAACAGTTCAACTGGAAAGAGGTCTTTAGCCGTGAAAACCGCTGCTTCTGGAATTGTCCCATTTCGTCTGCTATAGCATTACCTACCTCACTTGGCTTCCAAACAACTACTCTAATTAGTCAAATCACTCACCAGGATTGTGTATGTGCATGTCAGTTCATTAGGGACAGTGGAAATACTGTAATTTCCAGCATCTGCAGCTCTAGTCCTTCATCAGGTTGTAACCACTGTCCTGTTTTCCTAAACAGAGCTGTAAAGATTACCATGTACAACAGCTGGTTCCTCCCTTAATTTTCAAAATGGTTTTTGATTAAAACTTAAGCATTCTCTCCCCTCTGAGGTGGTATGTCCATCACCAGGCCTGAATCAAAGGTCTTGAAAATGGGAATAAGAGCTAGGTTTTATTTATGTCTAAGCAAAGAATTAAAGAACTCCTGAACAGAAAGTTTCTTTACTACATAGAATGTACACTAGTCACCACTAAATAATACCACGTATCTTTGCATTTACTGCTCTTTTAGAGGAAGTGTTCACTTAGACTTAATTGAAAATAAACCAGAACTGTTCTGCAAGTCATTCAGGTGCACGCATTTGCCAAAGCAAATGGCTTCTTCATGTAAAATCACCCAGATTATTAATAGAATCTGTCAACCCAGGAATCCATATGTCTTGAAAAATAATTTTCTGAAATGAAAATCTTTCTGAGTATTTAGAAAATAATGCTGTAGTGATTTTTCTTTTTTAAAGTGTTACATGTTTACAATGCATCAGGTATAATCCTTGATTCTTACGGATATACTTATATAGATGTGGATATTCACAGGTGGGTATTCACTAGTGCCCTCAAAAGGATACAAAGAAATTGCGTGAGTATCTTGAAGAGCAACTAAGAAGAGATTCTAAGGGAATTGTCAGAAAGGTGGTACTTTATAAGAAATAAGAACCTAACAAAACAAAGCTTGTAATTTTTATTCAGGCAAGTCTCATCAAATTCTGGTAGTTCTTACATAGCATCAGCATCACTGGGCTTAAATGATTATCTGGTATCACTGATATCAGGCCGATATCAGACAAAATTTTGTCTCAGCAGAAGCTGCAGGATTACATTCAAAGATAAAATGTGAAGGAAGAATGAAATGGGGAAAATCCTTGTTAGGCTGTATCATTTTATTGAGTTGCACTTCTATAAAATGCTGTCTAATCAAGTTTCCTTTTCTTACAGATACTATTTTGCTCTGAAGTATGGCTGTCAAGCCGCATTTAAACAGAAAAGCAGCAGAGATGCATCAAAACCAGACCTTCCTAACTTAATTCAGAAACAAGCCATTGATGTAGTGACTGATATTAACATGCTCAGAGTATTCAAGAGTTTTCTTGAGACCACACCACAGCTTTTAGTCCAGATTTACATCCTCCTGCAACACGGCAAAAATAATTTTTGTCAATGTGAGTCTGTCTTTCTCCTCAATTTGCAAGTTGAGTATTTTACCTAAAAAGATAACTCATGTGATTTGATAATATTTTAAACATACCTTGTAAAACGTGCACTCTGCTATATAGTTCCTCTGCATTTAACTAAATTCTAACTAGGATTTCTGTCTAGTAGATGGTCCATTCTGCTAAATCGATGAGAAGGAAAATGTCACCATAGCAAGTCATAATCTCTAATAGAAACATAACGATACATCACCTGAAAATAAGCTCTGGAATACAATTTTTGTATAATTTTCAGAGCTGTTTCTTTTGTGTGCTTTTGCACAAGTTTTGTTTTAAAACTGCTAACTGGACATCTTGAAATCAGTAACATATTTAGAGCATCCCTGTGAGCTGTCACTACTATCATCCATATTACAGATAAGAGACAGTCATAAAAAATCTAAGAATATGTCAGCATTGCAGGGTGCAGTGTGGTGAGGAGATACTCATTAAATTCGCAGAAGTAAGACAGCAGCTATACCATTTCCAGCTCTGAAACTAGTACAATTATTAGCAAAACATTTACTTACTCAGGGTTGGAGTTTGTTTAACCAGATAAGAGACCTGCACTGCTGCCTAGTGTTCCCTCATAGCCCATAGAGTCAATAGTTAGACAAAATGGACAGATGAATCTCCTCTTAAATATGACCACATAAATGATCAAGTCATAGCTAAAGATTTTTATGTTATGGACACTCCTGAGTCTATATCAGTTGCTGAAACTTATGTTTTTATGGGCTATTTACAATACTTTGGAATTTGTAAGTCATCTGTGTATGGAGATGGCAAACATGATTTACAACTTATGTGAGATCGTTAACATCCAGAGGCTGGGCAGGGTAACCTAAACATACCAAAAAGCATTAGATGCCTAGATTTAGGTAACTAAACTGAATCTCAAAATTAAGGTGACTTGTTAAGGAGCACAGAATAAATATAAAATTGCTATAAAAGAAGTGTTAAGAAAGCATGAAATTTTCCAAAAGTTCATACAGAAATTATAATACAAAATAACTACCTTTTTTTTTAGCTTAATATTTTTTCCTTATGTTTTGTTTAGATGCTGCCATTTTTGTGTCTTTTTGTGGTATCTCCTTTTCGATGGTTGATTATCAGATATCATTACGAAAATCTCTACTTGGTAAAGATGAACTTCATGGGCTTCCCAAGTTAGTGTATCTCTTCTATAAACTGCTTACCATCACTTCTTGGATACTCATTATTTCACTGATCACTCTACTAAGTGTTAGAAGTTCTGTAATACTGCTGACATTTCTTTGGATCTGTGGCTTCACCTGGACTTTGACACAACATACAACATTTTGCAAATCTAAGAAGATGGAATATCTGTACAGAATTGTTGTTGGAATCATTCTAGTTTTTAGCTTTTTTAACATAAAGGGGAGAAAAACAAAAGTTTGCACTTCTATTTATTATACTACTCAGACTGTTGTAACTCTAGGTATTTTATTTGCATACACGGTCTGGAAACCTCCAATTATCAAAGAAATACATTTTACAGTTGTGAGCATCCTAACTATTTTTAGTCTGGTTTTGGGTATTATTTTTCTTGTTGTTTATTACATGTGCTTTCATCCCACTGCTTATTGCAGACCACAAGCGTATTCAGATGAAGTTGACGGAGAGGCAGGACAAAACAGTAGAGTGAAAACTGATAGATTTCAAAATTTCATAATGCAGTGAACAGTACAGATTTTTTTTGTGTGTATGTATTTCAAAGCAAATACTTGCTGGAGAGTCTGTTTCTCTGTCATTGGCCCACATGTATCAACACTGAGCAGTTCATAATGGACTGGAGTTATTGTCTCTGAATAACTATTGTTTTCTGTGATACTCTACAAAGCCTTTATAATATGAATATTTCTCTACATGCTGGTCCAAGTTACTTTTGAAAAAGAACCAGTTTGGTCTATCTATTCAAGACAATCCACTGCTTTAGTTTTTGGCAATGCAATTAAAACATAGGAAAAGCTTAAAGTTAATAAAATCTGGCATTAAAACCATATTTTCTTTATTTATGTTGATTCTGTTAAAAATCTTGTCTTGCTAGAAGGAAAAAGGAGTGCATTTGAAGTAATTGAGGGCAGCGATCAGTTATCTGCTTCTTCCCATTAGTATAAGAGCTGCAGTTCTTTAGATGATCAAAGTTACAAACTGTACTGCCTTCTCCCTAAAAATCATTTGAAGAAGAATAGCTTTGATATATGGTTCAATCACTGTCTTGCCACAATGAAGTCTGGGGAGATATTACCATGCATTTTATATTCTAGGTGTTTTAATGACTCCTCTATTGTTTTTGTTCTGCTAATCTTTCACACAACCTGCTGTACTTAGGGGAGATGCCAACTTGTTCAGGATTGTAACAGCAGCCTGAGTGATTTATGGATGGCAACAAAAGTTTTGCATATAAAGGAAACACTATCTTCATTGATGCTTTCCTCTCCTTTAAGCTCTATGATGTAGAGCACTTTAGAAGCTGGTTTCCACTGAAATAGAAGGTTATGCAAGGTATGCAGTAGTACATCTTCTTTTGCCTTTGTCACTGGAAGAAAGAGAAGCAGTTGTTCTGATGCATAACACTCACAGGGGATGGGAAATGATGGATTAACCAATTTGTTGATCAAGATTTTTTCAAAAAGAGTGGAGTGAAATTAGACAACTTTTCAGATCTATGTTCAAAAGCTAGATCAACAACAAAGGAAATAAGGTTAATAGCTACAGCTTCTTCAGAAACTGAGGGGAAGTCTTTCAGAGCTCCTGTGTTTTAAATATTAATTTTGCGAACTGGGTCGTTTCCTCTCCCCTCCTTTCACTCTCCGGTAGTTCACATTTGCAGTTAGAGTGGCCACAGGCAAAGGGAGGGAACAGTATTCGAGAAAAGAGTGTAGAGATAAGAAAAACTGATAATCTCTGCCAGGAACCAAATCTTTAGCGTTATTGACTGACAGCAAACTTCCCTAAAACTTTGGGGGAAGGGCTGATGCTTTCGTTGACAGGGTGCTGAAGAGCTATGTCTTGTGCCCTTTATGTTGAGTCCACAGATTGCAGACTGCCTTTTTCCTGTCACAGTTCTCAGGAAAATTACTAAAAGTATTTCTTTCCTGTCCCATTTCCATAAGTTCTTTTCACAGGCCAACCATTTACATGTCCTTAATCCTATTTAAGGAAATTAATCTCTAGATGCATAGCTTGTACTGAATGGTCTGCCTTTCGAGGGATACACGTGAAAAAGCAGCATAGTAAGAAGACTTAATTTCTAAAATCCCTTGTTTCCATCTTAGGGTAACTAGAACACGGATCCTGAAGTTAAGACATACTCTGGGAAAGAGATTTCCAGATTTGTTTGCCCTGCAATGGCTGCTTGGGTTAAGAGAAAAAGCCCAAGGCTCCATCCTGCTTCATGCACTGTGATTGCCTCAAGTTCTATCTCCTTTATCTACAGAGTCTTTATTACTCGTGACGGTACCCTTGGCAGCAAAATGTCTGGTTCTAGGCTGAGTGTACTCTTATTTTGCCATGAAAAAATAGGTTCCTAAATAGTGTAACCTATCCCTATATTGCTTCGCATATTTTTATTCTTTGTTCATGTGAAATCCTGAGAAGGGACTGGGATAAGGCTGAATGGAAAAGGAAGAATATTATCTCATCTTACAGCAAATTGCAAATTTTTTTCTAACCATTATTTGGAAGAAGACCTCAAACTTTGTGTATTATCTGAGAAGCAGATCTCTGAGGAAACATAAGCTTTTGAGAAGTCCTAGTGTGGGAGCCTCAGCTCTGGGGACTCCAGCTTGTCTTTCTGCTGCCAGGTGCCAGAAATCTGGAGCTGGAATTTTTCTGGAGAAAGGTTAGTTTCTGGTCAAACAACAACAACACAAAAGGCTTGTTTGGTTTTTTTTTTTCCTCTCAGTGAAATAACAAATTCTAAATAAAGTGCTGTGTTGTCATCTCTCTGGCCAGCTTCTAACACTCATTTTCGTTCATGGGAGAAATGCTGAATATTGCACTGCCTTCAGTTGTTCTCCCTATGTCTCCTCGTTCCCTCTTCTGTGCCACCGAGAATGTTATGATGAAGTTGAGCAGGTAAGAAATGAAACTAGGTGGCTATTCGTATCACCTTAATTCAAATACAAACCAAACCAAATTACTTGATTTCAGTCCCTACTTTGTCCATGTAAGTCCTAGGGGTTATAAATTTAGCCATATCCTAAAACTGGAAAGCTTGACCAGAACTTTGGTGTCCTGCTACAGATACTGTAAATGTCTCCATCTTGCTGTCATCAGTCAGGGAGCCTCAAGAGATGAGAATTCCCATTAATTTGTCCCCAGTAGACTTTTATTTATTTACTTTAAACCTTATCCTCCTCCCTTTCTTCTTGACCTTGAGTTTGAGATTTTCACGTGATTCCCTTCATTTTCACAGCTATGAAATTGGCTTCTCATTAATTTGGTCATTCTAACTCAAAGTCATTGTAGCAGGGAGGACAAGGAAGTACATGAATTCACTCTAGACACATTTCATTTTATCAGCGACCACTTGAGACAAAACAAACAGAGCTGTACTTCACTGAGGTGTAAAGTTCAAACAATAGCCTTCATATATATCCTTTCTGTTCCCTGACTACTCTTAAAATTCAGCTGCCACTGAGTTCATGCATTGTGCCTGACCTTGTCATTTTAATCTAACTCCAAATTGAAAACAAATGTTCTTTTTTTCTTTTTTTGTTAAGTATGTCCATTACATCTTACAAGAAGTATTTTAATAAGTTAAATAAAAATAATAAACAATTTCTTCCTGTTTTGACTACTGTCAGACCTGGGTAAGAGGGACAATATTCAACAGAATTGTTTTAATTATCCTACTAATATTCAATGTGCCATTTGATGGCATGGGTGAGCTCACCTGATGTACCACAGATAGTGCTGATTTATGAAGCCATAATTGGGTTTCCAATAAACATTTGTCAAAATAATGTATTCATTCAAACCAAAGCCTTCTTTATTTATTCATATAAAAGAGCACTTAACTTTCAACAAAGAATTGCCTGCCATCAAAAACACTCCATAAATGGGGGAAATTTATGAAGACACAGTACCAGAGGGTGATTGGTGGAAGACTAAGTTAACTTTAACCCTTCGGAGTGCTATGTTCCACCTCTTGCTTCTTACTGGTATAATTTCTTTCTAAGACCCCAAAGCCAAACACTAACCTTTATATATTTAGACATTAAAGTTCCAGATCTTTTTTTCTGCCATGGAGTCTTACCTCTCAAAGATAGTTTCAAAATTGATATCTCACATTTTTATTATATGATGTAGAAGCACACACACAGCTCAAAGGTAGCTGTTTTTAGGCTTACCTACATTCTGCCCACAGTTTTCACCATGTGAATACTCTTTGAAAAATCATCTTTGAGAGGTTAAAAAACTTACCTTGTCTGAACCTGAGGCAATACCTGGACTTGTCATTCATTCCAGATGAAGACTTTTCCTCTGAAGAATATCTACCTCTTTGCGCTCTTCTCTACTTCCTAGCACTTCAGCTTCATTGTACAGATTTTTAATAGAATAATTGCAAAGTGGATGTTCTGTACAATCAATATTTAAATGGAAGGTAGATAACCCCTCAAAAGCCACCTTCATCAATATTTTTCTTATTTTACCTCCAATTAGCTAACATACAACAAATACAAGTCACACCGAAGATTCCCAGTATGTGAGTCTTGTATTTGTTAACTTAGTAAAATGTAGACCTTAGTGTGACAGGGAGTGATGCTTCAAACTTACCTTAGCCTGCTAACACCCGTTGAAACTACAAACTGCACTGGCCCTCCTATGATCCTATATGGGTTTCCATATATATTTATTTTTAGCATACCATTTTTACTTCTGACAGTGAACATAGCTGTAAATAGTGCAGATTGGAAAAGGAGAGGAAGGGTTTCAAGTACACATTCATATCACAGAAGTTCTAGGGTGATTTTGCCAATCTCAATGAAAAATCATCATCGTTAGTGTTGCTACTAGTGGCATCTTGTCCAAGTATCTAGGATGACAATACTTAGAAGAATATATCTGTTGCAACCAGAATGCAACAAATAGCTGGTACTAAAATTCTATAGTGCTTTGTCTGCTCAGCATATATAAGTGATTTTAAGTCTCTCTGATCAAGCACACGTGTTTTTTAATGGACGCCTACAAACATATTGAAAAAGAGATGGTTAGTCATTTTGTTCTGTGAGGAGTAGTCAACTGCTGAAAAGAAAGCGCTAAACATCCCTAGATGGTTTCCAGCTGCTGTGAAACAGAAAATGACAAAGCCAGTTGTCTGAAGGTTGCTTGCAAAGGTGAAAGTATGGAGAGGAAGGCATAGCAAATAGAGACACTGGGAGGTGGTGTTTTTCAGCCACACTCCACATACTCGGTCAAATTTGGAGTGTGTTGTGCCATAGCAGAGCAGAAAGAGACTTCAAACATAGTTTTGTAGTTTGTCCTACAACAGAACCACTGTGCTTATGCCATTGCTAGCCGAAGTTCTGAAAAACAATGTCCCACATAATATCCCCTAGATCTACACTGTATTGTCAGTCAGAAGCCTTTTATGTCCAGTCTCTTTATTGCAGTCTTCCCTACTGTTGTCTTTCCTATCTTGCAGAGCAGATGGCTTCTTCTCTGAAGCAATA